TAGGGAAAGTCTTTTAATTATGGCTTAAAATCCAGAAGTAATAAAAGAAATGATTAATAAATTTCAGTATATAAACATTAAAAATTAATAGAAATATAATAGGAAAAAGGCTAATATTCTGAATATGTATGTATTTTAATCCCTACAAATCCATTTTTAAAAGTAATTAAAGAAGCAAAGAGATGAAGAGTCAATTCACAGAAAAAGCAACCTTAATAACAAAATAAAAATATGAAAAAAAGATGCTTAACCGCACTAGTCATCAGGGAAACAAAAAGTAAAATAACACAATATAACACACATCAGGATGAAAACTTCCATAAACTCTGACAGTGCCGAATACTGGTAAAAACGTGAGGAAAGGCCAACTCTTACTGCTCGTGAATTAGACATCATTGCAAGCACTCTGAGGTGTACGTTGGCCAAGTCTGGTAAAACTGAGTATGTTCATCCCCGAAACCCACACATTCCAAAACTTGGTAGAACAGAAAGCCAAGCAGTGCGCTTCATGGCTGTCCTAAAAGAATTTTGAAAAAACGAGGCACCCGTCACGTATTTTAAGTTAACATCTAAATGTTTTATCATACATTTAAGTATCTGCAAAAGATGTAATTTCTTCCATATTGTAAACATTGTTATTTTTTTAAATGAATCTAAAAATCATGGAGATTTGATACCTGCCAACCTTCAGTTGACTCCTGTGTTCCTTCTGACATACCCTCAGTGTTTGGATTTTTGAGCACTTCTTACTTATTGGCTATAAGATGCTCTAAATTCATCTACATTCCCAGTCCTAGAATGAGCCAAGGATTCCTCCAAAGAACCCTGATTCCTTTTGTTGGAGAATGGTATGAGAAACCAAGTTCTGGCTGCCACTGATTTTAATTACTCAATCTCTCATTCCTAGAACTTCTTTTTGTTATTTTCCAAATATTCCGTTTTCATCTTGTCTTTGCCTTACCTTTGTATTCAAGTTTTTTTTTTCTTTCTTTCTCTTTGAGCCTTTTATTCACACCTGTTTTAAAATCCCTTCGCTTTGCTCTACTACTTGGAGTTTCAGGGGTAAGTTGAAGTGGCTGCCAGGTCTTCCCCATGGTAGTTCAATTCCTTATCCATTTGCCTTTTTCTTCTTTTAGTAAGCTCATCTTCAGCAAGATTTTTTCTTCCATCAGTGTTTTTATGCCATTAATATCTTCAATGTAGTTTCTCTCTCTCTCTCTCTCTCTCTCTCTTTTTTTTTTTATCACTATTGGTTTATAGACTTGGTGCAATTTTTTTTTTTTTTTTGCGGTACGGATATCTCAGTTTGGGCATTTCGTATACACTAGACTATACCTTAGAATCCCAGTCCCCATAATATATTAAAGTCCCAGCCCCTAATCTCTATGGGATCCTGATTTCTCCCTGAGTACCCTTGACTAAGCTTCCACTTTTCTCTGACCATAAATTTCCTCTTTATTACTGGGACCTGGGAACTAGCTTTCCTTGGTTTCTAGTTGAGCAATATTTATAAACTCTTATTAAGCAAACCAATATTTACAAGTGTTTGAAACAGGAACAAATATCTCCATGCCTGCTCATTTTACTTGACTAATGAGTACACACATATATTACTGACTATGTGCTAGCCATTGTTTCCACAAATTTACAAATAATAACATATTTAATCACGTCACATCCCTATTGCGTTGCAGAGGCTTTGCAGCTTACCCTGCCATATCCACATCTACTGATTCCTTAAGTTTCAGTTCACGTGCTTCCTTATCTGTGATTTCATCTCAGATCACCCTGAAGAATTCATGCTCTTTTTTTTTATGCTCTCAATATAATTTGTACCTTCATCATGGCAAAGAATTATGTTGTTTTAACTTGCTTGCATGTTTCTTTTCCCAATAGACTTTAAACTCACTAAGGTCAGGGACCATGCCTTTTATCACTGTAGAACCAACGTCTATCATAGACTCTGGCATATAAATACACTTAACACATTTTCGCTAAATTAAAAAAAAAGATGGAATTTTATCATGTGTGAATGAGTAGCTTTAAAACAGTATGTCAGAGTTCACACTTTTTTTGAGGACGATTTTGCTGTAAGAAATATAAATCTAGCTTAAATACAAGTTAATTATATTTTTGTCTTAACTAAAATAATAATTGTTACCCTTTCATGACTACCATTTGAGCAAATACCAAAATTTGAATTGTGATATTTAAACGTGTATATTTCAGAGATCTTTTTATAAATGCATCATGATCTTAACCCAACAGAATCCACATTCAAAGTTTTCATGGGTCAGTTAAGATATTCCAGGAATATCTTTTTACTTTACTCAGGCCAGGAATAGTAATGCTACTGGACAGAAATAAAAAGGGAAAGACAGTTTACCGCAAGAACTTACAGAAGAAAATACGACTCTCATGTACTCAATCAGTGGAGCCTGGTAGTAAATCAAAGAATAAATCAGTGAAGGGTTCACTTGCATGGTAGAAAGAGGGAACAGAGTGTATACAGATGGGTTTTGGGTTCAGAGCTGAAGTTAAGTCATGAGTTGGTTACATTTCTTTCCTTTGTGCCTTAGAACGCGCTACTATCTAGAGCTCAGTGTTCTCTTTTATAAGATGGGGCTCAAGTTGATACTTTTCAGGTCGAATTGATGAGTAAACGAGGTAAATTATGTGACCGCACCTTTCCTGACCGTGGAAGGCATTCAGTACATATTAGTTCACGTCTTCCATCCAAACCTCACTCCTTATTGTAAGCAATTCCTTACAATTTCGTTACATGCTCAGCCACTTTGGTTGTAACATTTGGGTTATGTAATCCTCGCTTAGTATCACCCTTTAGAAAGCCAGAGAATAATACCCTTCTGCCATTTCTTTTTTAGTAAGGGACTGCTGTAGAAGCCAGCAGATTGATTTCCTAATGGGAAGACGTATGATGAATTGTTTAATTTTGAGACCTATAATTTTAAAATAGTGACAGTTATTTCAAAGAGTGGCTTGGCATCTCTACAATTTACATTATTTTATAATTCCAAAATGGTTTTAATGGGATTATTTTTTAAAGGTATTGAATCATTTTCCTCTCCTAGGAACATAAAATGTTCTGTCCCCTAACTATAATAATTCTGTAATATTAATCTTATGGTCCTTTATCAAAATCAATGAAATTGTTATAATTTATTTATTTATGTATTTATTTTTTTTGCGGTACGTGGGCCTGTCACTGTGGTGGCCTCTCCCGTTGCGGAGCACAGGCTCCGGACGCCCAGGCTCAGCGGCCATGGCTCACGGACCCAGCCGCTCCGCGGCATGTGGAATCTTCCCAGACCGGGGCACGAACCCGTGTCCCCTGCATCGGCAGGCAGACTCTCAACCACTGTGCCACCAGGGAAGCCCAGAAATTGTTATAATTTAATTGTCACAATCTATTTTTATGCTGCCAATGTTCTCTAAGTGGGTAAGATGAATTGAACTCTCATTTGCTTTTGATGAATATTTAATTAGACATTAAAATTACGAGAAATGCTGAATTTCCTAACCCCAATTCCATTTTGTGTGAATATCTACTTGATAATAAAAATGATTATTTGTATTCCACTTTCAGTTTAGAAAAAATATTTTTAACTTAAAAGCTTATTAAATCTTTCCTAGAACACTCTGAGATGTGCATTACTAACAACTTTTTTTAAAGATTTTTTTTTTTTTGATGTGGACCATTTTTAAAGTCTTTTATTGAATTTGTTGCAATATTGCTTCTGTTTTATGTTTTGGTTTTTTGGCTACGAGAGATCCGCGGGGATCTTAGCTCCCTGACCAGGGATCAAACCCACACTCCCAGCATTGGAAGGCGAAGTCTTAACCACTGGACTGCCAGCGAAGTCCCTATCAACGTTTTATATACGAGAAAAAATAGCCTCAAAAGGTGAGTTTGGCCAAGGTCACCAGGCTTGTCTGTAAAGCTGGGATTCCTACTGTACATTATTCCCTATTATACATAATATGTTAACATGTTAATTGTCTCCTGAATATTTTTCAAGTTCAAATTCTAAACGTGATTTTAAGTCACATTGTAGACTTTAAGACATTTGTTTTTAAAAATATTGTTTTTGTTATAAAATACAAATATACTATTGGAATAAACAGTTACAGCAGCAAAGAACATTCAGTAGCCTAGTAGCAAAGTGAAATACACACAGTCACACAGAGACTCTGTATAAAGAATAAACTTATATATATGGAACTGGGTGATTTTATATATTCTGATATGATGTAAAGATATACCAAAGGTTGAGAATTTTGTGCTAAGTGAAATAAGCCAGTCACGGAAGGACAAATACTGTTTGATTCCACTTAAATGAGGTACCCAGAGTCCTCAAATTCATAGAGACAGAGACTCGGATGGTGGTTTGCAGGGGTTGGGGGGAAATGGGGAGTTAGCGTTTAATGGGCACAGAGTTTCAGTTTTGCAAAATGTAAAGAATGCTGGAGATGGAGGCGGGGGATGGCTGCACAACAATAAGTGTACCTTAGACTTTTGAACGGTACACTTGAAAGTGGTTAAGATGGTAAATTTTATATTATGTGCATTTTGCCACAATTGAAAAAAAAGATATATCAACTTTTTTGCGTATATGAATCCGTCAAGCTCTCGGTTTTATAACATTCTTGTCTCTGCTAACAGTGCACATATTTAAAAAATGTAATGTAAACTGAAAGTTTTAAGAATGCCTTTTGCAAATTTCAAGCCCATATAAGACACCATCGTCTTTCACTAAAACGTGCAAATGTCTTGCCTCAGCTGATGCTCTTCAGGGAAAAACGAAGGGTCTGTGGACCACATGAATCATAGCCCCATGTGTGGCCTGTGACCTGAAGTGTGAGGACAAGCAGATGTTCGTGGTGTCTCCAAGGGAAGGAGGGCACCCTAGTCAGGTGGGACGACGTGTGAAGCAGTGTGGAGTCCGGGCCCGGCAGTGGCTCGGTCTCAGGGCGGGTGAGGCAGGAGGCCCCCAGGCTGCCAACCTAGACAGCCCCAAGGACTCTAGGTCACAAGTCAGGTGCCCCAGTAGCATTCTGGACTTTACTCTGGCTGATGTGGAATCAATGAAACATTTAAAATAGCTGCATTTACACCCCCATGTTCATAGCAGCATTATGCACAATAGCCAAGACAAGGAAGCAACCTAAATGTCCGTCAACAGAGGAATGAATAAAGAAGATGTGGTACCTATAGACAACGGAATACTACTCAGCCATAAAAAAGAATGAAATAATGCCATTTGCTGCCACTTGGATGGACACAGAGATTATCATACTAAGTGAAGTAAGTGAGAAAGAGAAAGACAAATACCATATAATATCACTTATGTTTGGAATCTAAAATGTACACAAATGAACTCATCTACAAAACTGAAACAGACTCACAGACATAGAGAACAGACTTGTGGTTGCCAAGGGGCAGGTAGGGTGGGGGAGGGATGGATTAGGAGGTTGGGATTAGCAGATTCAAACTATTATATATAGAATGAATAGACAATAAGGTCCTACTGTATACCACAGGGAACTATATTCAATATCCTGTGATAAACCATAATGGAAAAGAAAAAAAATTCTTTTAAAGTATGTAAAGTATAAATATGTTCTGAACTGTACACTTAAAAATGGTTAAGATGATAAATTTTATACGTGTATTTTACCACAATTTAAAAAATCGGAAAAAATAAATAAAATAGCTGCATTTAGCCAAGTCCCTCAGATTTTCTGGAGGCAGGAATAGCTATTGGAACAGTACAGGCTGCACTGGGGCAGGGGCAGGGCTAGTAAAGAGCTCAGAGACAAAAGGACGGGACATACAGTAGGACTTCTAACCTCCTTTGGATTTTTGTAAGAAATGACTTGTTATGGGCAGAAGTTCATCAGAATAAAGACAACTAATGGAATAAGAAACAGCCTGGTAATATCTGCTAACGTGTTATTCTAGCACATAACCAGGTATCTTCTGTAAGAGAGTTTGTTTATATTTGAACAAAATTCTTACCTAAGGTCCTGGATTGGGTCCGGTTTTATGAGGGGCGTCTCCACTGAATGTTCAAAAAGAGCCCCTTCAGGCCCTAAACACAAACCAAAGATGAAGCTTTTACAAAAGTAAAATAAACAACAGCCAACAAAATCGAGCATTTATACTGCATATTACAGGACACGTAGGTTCTGATCGTTGCTGAATTTGTACAGATGTTTGAGTTGCAGGAAAAAAATAGGTATAACTGCTTTCCTGCTTTTCCAAGGATACCACGATTTCATTAGATGTCTATAAACAAAATATGATTTTTAAAGCAGTTACAAATACCCAAGCTTATTTTAAAGCCAGAAAGCGATATTAGCCCTCAAATTGAAAGAAATTTCAGTTGAAAATTGCATTAAGTCCATATATTTTCGGTAATAGTAATTTGATTCATTCTCTAGGTTTTATGTGTAAAAATTGTATCTTGTGTCATCTGTTTCTTAAGGCACATCAGGAAATTTATAGAAAAATCCAAAATTTGAATATTTAAAATTGACTTTCTAATTTGTACGAATCAGTATGTTCCCAGTTGTCTGGTTAGTCTGAGAATTATGTGCAAGACACGGTGTGGGTATTGGGTTAGGGTGCAGAGATTCGAAGGTGATATATCCTAACTTGCTTAGTACTCAGAACCCTACAAGGCAGGTATGATTATTTTCCCATTTTACTGAAGAGGAAACTAAGGAACAGAAAGGTTAATTAACTTGCCTAGAGTTACACAGCTAAGTGGCCTGGACTGTGATTTGACTTCAAAGCCCACACTTTTAACCTATGCACAGCAGGGTTATTCACAGATAAGTGCTCATCATGATTTACCTAGGTCCTTCTGCCTGGCCTAGACCACACCCCTGTCTTGGGCTCTACCCATCAGCTCAAAATGAAATTTCAAAATTAGAAACCAGGGCTTCCCTGGTGGCGCAGTGGTTGAGAGTCCACCTGCCGATGCAGGGGACGCGGGTTCGTGCCCCGGTCCGGGAGGATCCCACATGCCGCGGAGCGGCTGGGCCCGTGAGCCATGGCCGCTGAGCCTGCGCGTCCGGAGCCTGTGCTCCGCAACGGGAGAGGCCACAACAGTGAGAGGCCCGCGTACCGCAAAAAAAAAAAAAAGAGAGAGAGAAACGCAAGCAATTTACTCTGAGGAGAATTTAGGCTGGAAAGACAACTTAAGGGGCACAGACCCCCTGAGGCCATCAAGGTCCTCTTATGGAAGTTTGGAGAAGTCACTGCACAAGGAAGTGACCCTTGGAATTGATGGGACCATTCACCACCACTGAAAGGGGAAAGTCAGGAGAGAAGCAGAGCTGGAGGAAAATACTGAATGAATCAGCCTGGAGACCTCCTGTGGGATCATGTCTGTCCTTAGAGCTGAAGCCAGTTTTAATTGGGCCTTTTGTTCCTTTCAGCTGAAGGGCTGTTAACTGATGGAGCAGGTCATCAACTGTCCACAGAGCTGCATGACTGGGTCCGGAGCCAGATGTGTTGAGCATGTGCTTGAAGGGTGTGGTCCTCTCTAAGCAGCTGCTAGAGATCCATCTTCACATCTGTAAGGGACATGGACTCACCACCTTCACTTCGTCAGTGGCTGAAACCTTACTTTCCAGGTCCTCTTTTGTGGGTGGCTTTGTGGGTGACTCCAGAATTCCTATGTCCTCACTTGTGACATACGTAATCCCGTTTAGCTAATCAGAGAAGGGTGAAGGGATGGAACTGCCTTATTGCTAGATTGTGTCTCCCCTTAGTGATGAGACTGGATACTCTTACAGGGCCCCATTTTCCGTCCTAAATGTTGGGGAATGGACCCCGCCTAGCGAATCACTGCCAAGGAACCAAAGTACCCAACCGTGCATCATCTTCCAGACGCCAGTTCTGGCAACGGGATAAAATTTTTTTTTGAAGATGACATTTTGATGCTGCTCCAATAACATGTTCTGCGACTGGGGTTAGTAAAAGAGTTGCTGATTTTGGTCACTTGGTGACAATTCTATTTTTTAGGGGGAAAAATGAGACTCTGCCGAAGGCCGAGATCAATTTCAAAGTGGGCTGGTGAAATTGTTTAACCTCCTCCGTGAATTTGATTTAAAAATGATTTTTCAGTTTCCCCGTTGACTGGAGTACATATGGCAGCTGTTTAAGAATGGACGAGGGATTTCACGTTACTCTCTGAGTTCCTGAGACAAAGGCAACGGCAAGAAAGCACTTCTTGATGTGCGTTCAGATCAGGAATGTACTGCAACTCAGGCATCTGGAGGGGCCACCTTAAAGAAAGACCACTGAGTCCCTCCCCTTACGCCCCATGCTCAGGGCAAGTGGCCAGAGGGAAGAGTGTACAGCCAAGCATTGAATTCTCTTTCTCTGCCCCCAGAGTGACCTGGTTCTCTGTCGCTTCTCACTCCTCTTTCCTTGGCTGTCAACTACTGCTGCTTTTACTGATCCAAGAAACTCCAAAGGCTACTTGAAATCAATCCATTTAACACAGAGATCAAACTTTTATAGTACATAGTGGAGAAAAGCTTGAATGGGAATTTACTTGGAAAAATTAACGTTTATAAAAATATTCTTCTCGTATTTTATATATTTAACGAAACTTAACCATCATTGTAGCAACTATGGAGTCGTATGACATAAAGAATAAATCAAGTTTTGTTTTTTGGTGCAATTTTCCCAACACAGTTGGAATTATATGATGGCTGTTGTAGTTTTCTACTTCTGTGTAAAGCCTTTGGGTTACATCAATTGGAAAGAGATAAAAGGAAACAATATGGTGGGGGAAAAAAAGTGGGTAAAGATTTGTGAGGAAGATTTCATTCTTTTAAGAGAGTGTCAAAGAATTTCAAAAGAAATGCCATGAAGAAAAGTCAACAAATTCAAACTACAGTACTTTTTCTTATCGGCCTGAAATATTCCACAGTAAACTTGCCAAAACTGCAATTTGCTTTTGCAGAAGTGCCCTCCATGCGATACTGTTTTTCTTAAGAGTTACTACAGATGAATGGATACAGAAGATGTGGTATATACACAATGCAATATTATTCAACCAGAAAAAGAAGGAAATCCTGCCATTTGCAACAACATGGATGGACCTCGAGGGAATTATGCTCAGTGAAAAAAGTCAGAGAAAGATAAGTACTGTATGATCTCACTGATACATAGAATCTAAAAAACAAACAACAACAAAACAAAAACTGAACTCACAGCCACAGAGAACAGATTGATGGTTGCAAGAAGTGAGTGTTGGGAGGTGGACAAAATGGGTGGAGGTGGTCGAAGGTACAAACTTCCAGTTATAAGACAAATAAGTCGCGGGGATGTGATATACAGCATGGCGACGACAGTCACCACGTATTGTGTATTTGCAAGTTGCTAAGAAAGTAGATCTTAAAAGTTCTCGTCACAAGAAAAAATTTTAAGTATGTGTGGTGATGGACGTTAATTAGACTTATTGTGGGGATCATTTCACAATATATACAAATATTGAATCCTTATGTTGTACACCTGAAACTAATGTTGTTTGTCAATTATTCCTTAATTAAAAATAAAGAGCTACTACATACCAGTTACTCGAAGTTTATCTGTACCAACCACAACTGCCTTTTCATCAAGAGTAAACAGTGGCTTGCTGTCCTTGGAGTTGATCTGAAACTGCTGACTCTGGACCTCTACCATTTTGGGACCTAAAGAATGGATTAAAACATTTTATTATAAAGTGTGTAGTCTATGCAGTGTTAAAAGCTCTACTTTTACACATGCCATGGCACCCAGTAGTACCAAATCACTAAACATTTAAGATTGTTACCAGTAATTTTTTTGATTCTGTGATTAAATTTTAAGTCCTAAGCCTAAATCTATGATATTATTAAAATTAATGTAGGTCACATGTATGTTGATCTATATCAAATATATGTATGAATGAATTATATAAAAATTAATTTTTTCAGGTTTTTAAAACTTGCCAAAAATAATATGATTCTTCTATGCAGATTACTGAAATTGGTATTCTTTTGACTATTAACCGACTGAGGAGTTTATATTCTGAAATGTGAGATTTGTGAAAGACCATCTTATGAATGGCTTCCTTCAATGGCCAAAGTTAACGCAGACAATGAATGAGTCACACTCAGATTCTTGCCTCTGCCCTAATCCTCACCTCCTATTCCATGGAGCAAACAGACATCACCATGGAAACACACCCTGAAGTTTCTGCCCTTCACCTTCATCTCAGCCATTTCTGTCTTCTCCAGCCCTTCTTTCTATTTCAGGGACAGGGCATCACTTTCTCCTCCAAGCTTGCTCCTTTCACATGAACTTTTTCTGTCTGTCTGTTCGTTTTTGCTATACAGCAGGTTCTTATCAGTTATCTACCTTATACATATTAGTGTATATACACCAATCCCAATCTCCGACCCACTGGCTTTTAAATTAAGACTGTACTCAGCAGATGTTTAATGTGTGCTTCTGTGTGCCAGGCACTGGGGATGCTGTACCTTCAGCGTGTGAGATCTTGTTCAATGTCTCTCATTGGTACAGTTGGGTATCCATCATTTTATGTTTTCTGATTTCTCTGTGCTTCCTGTCCTTCTAACCTTAGCAGCATAATGGATTCATCTCTCTAGAACATAGCGTTCAGCGTTTGCTTAAGGAACTGCAAGTGTTCCTTCATTCTTTTGTTAGTTCTATTTTCTTATCTAGAAAGGTAAGTTTATTGTGAAATGGATACTTGTAGATTTCATGTATGTGTCCCTGTGTCTCACAGTACTCATTCAAGTTGATTGCTACCTGTTAGAATTTAAATAGAAGCTTTTCAACTAATACATTAATCAGTTTTGGATATTGTCAGCAACATATTCTTATATTTTTTCACTAATTTGTACCTCAGAACCCTCCAACGATTCTTCACTTAAATGTGCGTGTGTTCACATGTTACAAAGTGGAACACATTTTTTTCTCTATGTTTTATCTCCTTTCTCTTAAGGAAGCCTGGCTTTATTTTTTGATAGTTGCCTGTATTTTTGCTCTCCTGAGCTTTCACCCAAACTCAGTTATCCTGTGATTCAGTGTCACTACTTACCTCTTCTGGGTCCCTGATATATCTTACATATTTATCATACAAACACTGATTCGCATTAAGTGATGAATTTGAAGTTATTTGAGTTTAGAATCAAGAGGAAAAAACTGGAGTAATTTATCCAATAAGAGTTCACTGTTTAGCTCATTGGAGGTTCATATAACAATTCGAGGAGAATTTATCAAGTGAAAGTGGTTAAACTAAATGACATTTTTTTCTGTAACCATTGTTTCATATACATTGATGAAATAGTCAACAAATGAGTTTAGCTGCATAATTTTCATGAGTAACAAAGCTACATAAATCCTCAAATCAAAGAAAATCCAGGAAAGTGAGTCTCTTCCATTAAGCACAAATTCATTGTATGCTTTTATGTTCAAGGTTTTGTGCTAAGAATTGAGGCTATATAAAAGAGGAGACGCAGTTCACAACTTATAGGATTTCATAGTCGACTGAGGAAAAAGGCATATAAATCTAGTCCCAGGGCAAGTGCCATGATACAAGCATGGACAGTGTCCAGTGAGAACCCTGACAAGGAATTCCTGTCCCTCCTGGGGCATCAGGGATGACACCTCCGGGAAGAGGATGTCTGGGCTGACCTGGAAGAGTTCATGTTTCCCTGATGAAGGGAGAATGCGAGATTCCAGGTAGAGGGGGCTACTCAAGCAAACGCGCAGAGGTGGATAAAATTCCACCTTCACTTTATAAAAAATATAGACATAGAATGTTCAGTTTAAATATGTTTTCCACTTCAAAAGAAACTGTGCTCCAAGTGATAACAAGCCCACCACAGGAATAATCATCTCTTAAAGTAAGTGAGTTTATAATTAAATCTTTTAACTTTCATTAATATTCTACTAGTCTTTATAACCTTGCTGGACATGTATTAGTGCTTAGTAAGTCACCCTCATGTGCAGCAGAGTTCTTTAAGAAATAAAACTCAGGGCTTCTCCGGTGGCGCAGTGGTTGGGAACTTGCCTGCCAGTGCAGGGGACACGGGTTCGATCCCTGGTCCGGGAGGATCCCACATGCCTCAGAGCAACTAAGCCCTCAAGCCACAACTACTGAAGCCTGTGCGCCTACAGCCCATGCTCTACAGCAAGAGAGGCCATCACCATGAGAAGCCCATGCACTGCAACAAAGACCCAATGCAGCCAAAAATAAATAATAAATTAATTAATTTTTTAAAAAAAGAAATAAAACTCAAATACTTTCTTTGTGATTAAAAAAGGAGCTATCTGGGGCTTCCCTGGTGGTGCAGTGGCTGAGAATCTGCCTGCTAATGCAGGGGACACGGGTTTGAGCCCTGGTCTGGGAGGATCCCACATGCCGCAGAGCAACAAGGCCCGTGAGCCACAACTACTGAGCCTGTGCGTCTGGAGCCTGTGCTCCGCAACAAGAGAGGCCGCGATAGTGAGAGGCCTGCGCGCGCACTGCGATGAAGAGTGGCCCCCACTTGCCGCAACTAGAGAAAGCCCTCACACAGAAATGAAGACCCAACACAGCAAAAATAAAGTAATTAATTAATAAACTCATACCCCCAACATCTTCTAAAAAAAAAAAAAGAGGAGCTATCTGGTAAAACCACAATTTTAATGAAAGGCTTTGGTACAAATAATGAGGGAAATAAAGGAATTAGGGCTTCCCTGGTGGCGCAGTGGTTGAGAGTCCGCCTGCCGATACAGGGGACACGGGTTCGTGGCCCGGGTCGGGAGGATCCCATATGCTGCGGAGCGGCTGGGCCCGTGAGCCATGGCCGCTGAGCCTGGGCGTCTGGAGCCTGTGCTCCGCAACGGGAGAGGCCACAACAATGAGAGGCCCGCGTACCGCAAAAAAAAAAAAAAAAAGACGGGGGAGCTCTGATAGGGCGAGAGAGAGACATGGACATATATATACTAACAAACGTAAGGTAGCTAGCCAGTGGGAAACAGCCGCATGGCACAGGGATACCGGCTCGGTTCTTTGTGGCTGCCTGGAGGGGTGGGATAGGGAGGGTGGGAGGGAGGGAGACAAAGAGGGAAGAGATATGGGATTAGATGTATATGTATAACTGATTCACTCTGTTATAAAGCAGAAACTAATACCATTGTAAAGCAATTATACCCCAATAAAGATGTTTAAAAAAAAAAAAGATAAAGGAATTAAATAAAGGAAGTTTTTATGACCTGATGAATTAGGTTTGTGAAATGGCCTAAGCGGTTTCTGGTAAAAACACAATCAAATTCTTCCTGGCTTTTACCATATGCCCCATTAACAGCTCCGCTCCACCCGCCCACCATGATAGCTTTAAGACAGCATCATTTAAAAACAAATGTCACAGAGTCCTTTGAGAAAAGGAAAGATTTATTCTGCTGCTGCAAATATCGTATCACAGAAAATACTGGACTGGACGTATAAAACTGTGGTTAAGTTCATTCTACTAATTTTTTGGTATCATCTTGTATTACTAGGTTCAACTTTATAAGCCTGGAGTCAGTGACTCTTATCTGTATAGCTTGGCTCTATTCCTTAGGCTAGTCTGTTACATCCAAGCACATGAGCTCCTGGACCTATAATAACCAGGAAAGGGCTCCAGTGCTGTTCACAGCAATTGCCTTGGATGAACCCACTGTTTTTTAAAAATGTATTTTATTGAAGTGTAGTTGATTTACGAGGTTGTATTAATTTCTGCTGTGCAGCAAAGTGATTCAGTTATAAATATATTCTTTTTCATATTCTTTTCCATTATGGTTTATCACAGGATATTGAGTATAGTTCCCTGTGTTATATAGTAGGACTTGTTTATCCATCCTATATATACTAGTTTGCATCTGCTAATCCCAAATTCCCAATCCACCCCTCCCCCACCCCTCGGCAACCGCAGTCTGTTCTCTATGTCTGTGAGTCTGTTTCTGTTTCATAGGTAGGTTCATTTGTGTCATATTTTAGATTCCACATATAAGTGATATCATATATTTGTCTTTCTCTGTCTGACTCACTTCACTTAGTATGATTATCTCTAGCTCCATCCATGTTGCTGCAAATGGCATGATTTCCTTCTTTTTCATGACTGAGTAGTATTCCACTGTATATATACACAATGTATATTATGTGTGTGTGTGTGTGTGTGTGTGTGTGTGTGTGTGTGTACCACATCTTCTTTATTCATTCATCTGTCTATAGACACAGGTTGTTTCTATGTTTTGACTATTGTGAACAGTGATGCTAACCCCTTGTTTTTTACTCCTGACTTTCTTTGTTGAATTTCTCTCTTCTGTTTTACCTGAGAAATTTTGAGTTTGTTTCCCACTTATGACCCCAAATCCCTCACAGCTGTGGCTCAGACTTATACTTGAACCCTTGTCCACTCTGGAGCACCCTGGACAGGCCACCTTCCCCCACCCCATCTCCTAGAACTCTCTCTCACACTTAAGCTGGCTTTCCAGCCCATCCCTTCCTACACAGTCTTTTATTCATTCCTCCATTCATTCATTCAACAAGTATTTATTGAATACCTCCTAAATATATGAGTGGCCTGAATTAAGAACTGTGTCATTGACTGAATGGAATAACATAACTCTAATTTTTCAGTATTACATAATCAAATTATTGTGTGTGTGTATATATATACATATATATATATAATATGCAATAATATTATTGTATATATACAATAATTATATTGTATTTACAATAAATATATTTACAATATAATTTTATAATTATATTTACAATTATGTATATGTATATATATATATATTCCTTGGACTATTATGTAGCCATTAAAATAATGCCATTGAAATGGAAGAAATTAAAAAAACAAAAAGAGAGTACTATGTAGACTTCTATGCAAATAAATTCGAAAACCTAGATGAAACAGCAAATTTCAGGGAAATAGGAATTGCAAAAATTGACCCCATTCAGCTAAAAAGTCTTATTTTGAAGCTAACCAGAATTGGTTTCTATTATTCGAAGTCAAAAGAACATTAACTGTAGTAACCAGAGCTGCATTTATAACTAGTAAGATTCCACTGTTGTTCACAATTTGTTGTCTTTTAGTTCCAAGATTTGAAATGCTAGCTGTTGATGCTTGCTTTCCTATGTTTGATTTCTTTTGGAATTTAAGACTTTTGGCTTTGACTGTATTGGTTGCCAGTTTTTTCAGTGGTCTTAGTAATAAACAATTATTCATTTAATTCAATGGGATTACTTTGTCTAGTTCACATAAATCACATTTTAATATCCAGATTGACTAAATTTAACTTCCTCCAGGAAATGAGAGGCTGGAATGAGTGTGATTGTGGGAAGTCATTTACTGAAAATCATCTTGGATTTGGTGAGCTGAATATTTCCTAGTTCAGGATTCTCAATATAGCAGAGGCTTTCCAGCCCAAGGTTTAATAGAAATCACTTATTTTAACTCTACCTCAGGTATGAAACACTAAGGTTAAAACTCAAAATTTGAGGTTAACAGTTTAAAGTAATTCTGATGGGAAACTTTTTTTTTTTAAAGTGAATTCCTTGGTGACAAAAACAACACCATATTTGCAGCAACTAGGACAGTTCCTGGTGTGCCATGATTTAATGAAACCTGAGTAGAGAGGGAGGGTGGTGGAAACACCCCTGTTGGAGAAGCAAGTCCTGAGGTGACTCCTGGTTTGGCTTCTCTACTAACTAGCTGTGTGTTTTTGAGAAAATTAGCTTTTCAGTGCTTCCATTATTTCATCCACAAAATTGGAGACAGATTTATGTTATCTTTAACTCCTCTATATATGAAAATCCACACTTAGCAAAAAATTAAATGTGAAAATGAGTATTTGTGTTAAATCATTTTCAGAAGAATATAAAATGAATCTTTTACTTTTGGAACTCCTAAAAAATAATTACACACTCTAAATGTTATTAATTACTTGACAGCATATAGAAAGTAGCACATAGGCATTCAATAAATGTTTGTTGAATGAATGACAAAATGGGTAAAAATCCCTCAAACATTTTTTTTTTTTTTTTTACCGGTACGTGGGCCTCTCACTGTTGTGGCCTCTCCCGTTGCAGAGCACAGGCTCCGGACGCGCAGGCTCAGCGGCCATGGCTCACGGGCCCAGCCGCTCTGCGGCATGTGGGATCCTCCCGGACCGGGGCACGAACCCGTGTCCCCTGTATCGGCAGGCGGACTCTCAACCACTGCGCCACCAGGGAAGCCCTCCCTCAAACATTTAAAAGCTATAGTCAGTTAAAAATTTTTAAGAAATTTAAGAAATGGTAGACACCATTCATAATACAACATAATTTATAAAGAAATATGATTTAGTTTAGACAAGTTTCATGAACATATATGCTGTGTAAGCTCAGGTTCATTTCTAGATTTATTGAGAATTTCACTGGGCTTAGTGATAAAACACGCTTCTAAGCAAAACAGAAATACAATTTATCATTTAGAAAAGGTTATAAAGATTAAATCAGAACACAGACTATGGAACTCATGTATTACTGTAATAAAGAGGAATCATAAAGTTAAGATATGACTGTACCTTCCAATGTAACATTATTGTTCTGTAACAACAGCCATTAAAAAAAGGGGGACACGGGGGCTTCCCTGGTGGCGCAGTGGTTGGGAGTCTCCCTGCCGATGCAGGGGACACAGGTTCGTGCCCCGGTCCGGGAGGATCCCACATGCCGCGGAGCGGCTGGGCCCGTGAGCCGTGGCCACTGATCCTGCGCGTCCGGAGCCTGTGCTCCGCAACGGGAGAGGCCACAACAGTGAGAGGCCCGCATACCACAAAAAAAAAAAAAAAGGGGGACACGGAAAGTTACCTGCCTGTGTTAGTAGTACACTTGTCATCTATTTCCCCATAATCTGAAGAGCCATCCAATTTCTTAGATTTAGCAAATCTATAAAGTGTTAATGGTGTAGAGAAGGTATATTCCTTTCACCAGCTGTTTGCTCTTTTGTAATTTCTTCCATCCATATTCTTTCTTTCTAATCCTTCTGCTCTCTGTGCACGATTCCAAAGGACCTCTCTCCCACGTGACCATATTCTTTGGTCTTAGCTGATCGGATGGGTGTACATGGCTCAGCCAAGGGCAGTTGGTTGAACAGAGTAATTGGGCCAATTAGAGTACTTTGCTGTGAACTGAGAATTCATGACATTGAAGACCAAGTTGGCTGGTGTTGAGAACTATAACCAATCGGATGAAGAACCAGAGAGTCCTGTAGAGTCAGAACTGGTGCAACCATGATACCAAGTGAAAATCATGGACAGAGATTCATGGAAAAGAGGGGAACATGGTAGAGAGAAGGAGAGAGGGAGGGGGAGAGAGGGAGAGAGAGGATGAATACTTTGATTCTCCGGCCTTGGTCTTTCTTTTCTTGAGGGCAGCTACTTTGTTTCCTTTCCTCAGTGTCTGTGGGATTATTTCGTATCCTGCAACAATCATTGTTTCTTGTACTACCTTAAATGGTCCTCTTATTACTTGGAACCAAAATAACTTCACTTAAAATATTTCAGACTGTCCTCCCACCACCTGAACTAGTCTCCGTGGTCCACACAGCATGATATTTAGAAAACTCATACTTTGACTGCTCATAGATAACTTTGAATTCTCTAGAAGAAAAAAAAAAAAAAACAAATGGATCCATTCAGCACAACTGTTCATGGACCACACACATGCCAAGCACTGTTATGAAGCTGGACTCACCCACTTTTAACCTGCCTGTAACTTCTCCTTCTGGGTTGCGTGCATTTACAGTCACATTCTGTGCGGACTGCAGAAGCAGCGATGAGTCCTAAAAACAGATTTACAATGTTAGCCAAATACAGACTATTTAAAATGACTATACCTTTGAATTGGTATATAAATTGAGGATTTCTACAAAATAATTTCTCCAATGTCATAGATCCTGTGAACCTATAAATTGGTGGCTAAAACTATTTTTTAAACTTGGATTATATTGTGTGAAGGGGGTAAATGCATTGTTTTTTTTCCCCCCACAAAATATAATAACCACCTGGGTTTACAGAGCCTGTGTGCACTGGTTACAATGGACCAAGTCCGTTCTCAAGGTGAAGATCTGAAACAATCAAGTTTTAATCAGTGTTTTGTCTTTTCCAAGGAATTAAAATTTCATTTCTCATAATTTATGTCCAGGACATGATATATTTTTAAAAGGTAAATCAGAGAGCGGTTAGCTATAAATAAATACCATATTACTTATTTTCAAAACGCAAAAGGCTTCTCACAATTTCAAAAGAGCTTTTAAAATCTGTTGGATGCCTATGTTTTTAGAGCTTTTTGTTGGAAGATACAGTGGCTTTATGAGCACGTAAGTGGGGTCATAGTCTGAGCGGAGGCTTTATCTCACAGAAGATTGCTGGCTTCTCTGTAAGTTTTCTTCAAAAGGAATGCAGTAATTTGGCTGCTGGATTCAGGCGGGTTTATGCCACTCAGAGGGGACCAAATATCTTCCCAAGTTGTGGGGTATAATATGATTTTTCAGAAGGAAAGAAGTTTTAGGAGTGCTTTGGAACTCTAGCAGGTCAGAAATTCCCCAGCTTGCTTTGTGGAAGCAGATGGATTTACCATTGTCTCACCTTTTACCCAATGGCGTGACCTTACTACTTGTTTTTGCTGTGTTTTGAAATAACCAGCATGGTAATAAGAGCTAATAATTCACCGACGATTTTTACCATCCAGCCTCTCCTTTTATCTCCACATTTTGAAGGAGGTAGCATTACTCCTCACATACAGATGAGGAAACTGAGCTCAAGGAGATTAAATGACAGCTCTCCCAAAGTAACAGCTAGCAAGTGACAGTTCCATGACGGAACCCAGTCTTCAGGCGCCAACTTCCAGGCTCTCTTTTTTTTTTTTTTTTTAATCATTTTCCCTGAAAGGGAGGACATGGCCCAGGTCAGAGCTGTGAGGCCTACTCCCGGGGCCTAGACAAAGTAAGCTGTCCCAGGAACCACTCTGGTTGTCTGATCCAATGGATGCTCTCCAACACTATTCTTTTTCTGGCTTCCACCGCAGGGGCTGCAAAGGCTAAATGCTTTCTCAGCCTGTCCTGCAGGGAGGGAGACCCAAGTGATACAATTCTGGTCAATGAGATGTAAGCAGAAATCCGCTGGGGCGGGGCTGGGGGTTTCCAGGCAAGGTTTTGGGTGTGACCATGGCGGTCACTCGCTAGGGCCCACCCAAGGCACGTGGCCAGGGAAACATGCAGTGTCGACGCATGCACACTTCTCATCAGAAAAGCAAACTTTCTGTGTTTCATCATTATTTATTTTTCATGAAACACAAATTATTTAAATGTGTCCTCATTTGCTTACCACTCTGGAGTGTATCTCTTTGGCGTACAGTGGGAATAAAAACTCCGATTCCCCCTCCAGGTGAAGTCCGTCTTCTGTAACATGCAGGTGACCCATCCCTGTCTGTTAAAAAGAGGTTTGTTATTGCTTTCTTCTTCACTTCTTTTAGTATCAGCTTAAGTTATTATGCATTTTCATAGGTTTCCTATCGGCACTTTACTGTATTTCTCTTAAACGCTTTATTTAAAACTTTAGTTGTTTTTATTCAATCTTCAGTATTTTATTACGTCTTGTGTAAATACAAAGGACTGTTTAGGAAATGCATATAAGATTTAAATAATCACTTTATAACAAACATGCAAGAGCCCACCAACATGCCAGAAAAAAAAATCTTACCATTACTATTTAAAATTTTTTAAAAATTAAGATGCAATAAAATGGATCCTTGAGGCTTATAGCTCTATGAGTTTTAACATACATATAGATTCGGGTAGCCACCGACACAGTCAGAATACAGAACTGCAATGAAAACCAACACGCTATAGTTCGCAGTGAAATTATTTTAAAAAGGTAAAAAAGAAAAGTGAATGTTATATTATTTTTTGCTACCGAAAATTCTGATCCAGACAGGAAACCAACATTAACTGCATGAAAGGAAGCTTCTGTTGATACAATGTGGATGGAGTGACAGCACAAACAAAACAAGAACATGTTTATCAGGAAAAAAAATACTTACTGGGGAAAACCACATCACTTTAAGAATCCAAATTGTAAGAGCAAGATTCACAAGGAGGATGATGAGCAAAAGAAGAACAAATAAGTAGAGACAACGCTTTCTCCAGCCATAGATGCCGATTTTGTAGACAGACTGGTTCTCTGGCCGCTCTATGTGGGTGCCTTCTGTGGTCGTGGTGTATTGTTCACGCACCATCTGCCACCGGGTGGGGGGCAAGGGAGGGAGGGGTGAAGAGAGGGGGGAGGGTGGAGGAGGGAGAGAGGGGGGGGTAGAGGGAGAGAGGGAGAGACACATGGCCAGAAAGAGAATTTGTCTGTCAAGATTGATTGACCATTAGTCCCACAAAATACTTTTTACCCCAATAACAAATTTCCCAAATTAGTGATTTTTTTTTTAACATCTTTATTGGGGTATAATTGCTTTACAATGGTGTGTTAGTTTCTGCTTTATAACAAAGTGAATCAGTTATACGTATACATATGTTCCCATATCTCTTCCCTCTTGCGTCTTCCAGTGATGTTTAAAATGAGCATTGGCTATTACTTTGAAACGTGTCACTGTATTTCAACCACGGGGATAATCTGTCATGCAACGTATTTAGATATGACAAATTCATTTGAAATCCAGTGATAATATTTTCAGATTTTAATCAATAAAATCAATACATATACAGCTTTCAAAATTCTGCAAGATTAAACTTGGGATTGAAGCACCAACCTACAACAATCAAGTTACCACATTCTTAAAAGATTCAGTGGGAGGAAAATCAATCTGGTACCAGAGCCTTCTGAAGAAAAAATCCAATTACTCAATTTTATGCCAAATGATTAAATTACATCTTCCTTCAGCTACTAAATTATTCAGAATTAAAAAGGCTCTTTTCAAGATACCTACCACACCAACTCTGGCCTATAATAAAGCTCCCAAGTACTGACCTAGTTCAAGAAAGATCAAAATGTGTACGTGTACAAATGTTTACAAACATTCACTGTTTTATGTAAATTAGGTTAAGAGTCTTAGTAACAATTTCAACTCTACGAAGAGATTTTTAAAAGTTGCTCAATTTTCCCCTTTACACAAAGAAAAAAAGAACATGGTTTTAACTGTTTAAATTAAGATTAGAAATTATGATGACTTTTCTGATTGTAAATGTAGCAAAATGATGAATCATATAAAATATTCTCCTCTGAGATTTTTTATGCATTTATTTTTAGGAATGATTTGGAGCTGTCCTTATTTAAAATGTTATGGTCAAAATAATCCTATAAATTTCTTTCCAACCAAACGACAGGCATTTCCCCGTGTTCTAGCTGATTGTGTAAAATGGTGCTATTCATCACTCAGTATTTTCAAACACCCAGGACTGACAATCTGCATTATTCAAAACCTAAGTGGTTAACAGTTTCATGAGGGCATTCTTCACTCACTCACCTTTGACCCCTCCAGTCTTTTTTTGGATTAGAAAGTCCATCACCACCCACACAGCCGCACATCAGCTCTGCCTTAAACCTGCATCCCAAATCTGTCTCTCTCCATTGCCACGGCTACCGCTCTGGTGCCAGCCACTGCGAACTGTCATCTGCACCACTGCAAACCTGCTTCCCTTCCTTCCCCTCTGGAAACCCCTCTCTACCCACAAGCAGACACGTGAAATGTAAGTCAGCGCCTGTCACTCTAGTTTCACACCTTCCCGTGACTTTTCCCCACTGAGAACATCCAACCTCCTCCATCACCTCCCAGACCCTATATGAGAGCCTTTGCTCACCTCTTCATCTGCAGTTGTTGGTCTTTTGCTCACAGCGCCACATTCACTCTTTAAAGGCCCAGGTGAACCCTCAGGTCAGGACTCACTCCTGGGCATCCCTTCCACCTGAAACCCTCTGCCAGCTCCCTCCTCAGCTTCAGACCTGCTCACATGACACCTCCTCAAAGAAGTCTTCCCCGGACACCCACTCACTCCCAACACAGCACTCTGGTGTATTTATTTCAAAGCACTTGTCATCTAAATAATGGTGGCAAAACCACACTTTCTGTAAAAGATAGGCTAAGAGTCTGCGATTGGATTGGGAAGGGTGGCCAGAGAGTCTGAATTTAAAGCAAGTGCATTATTTTACAGTATTGCTACAGATCGATAAAAACAGCAGTTTTCTAAGTGTGTTTGTATACACATGCACATGCATGCACGCACACGTACGGTTTCCACTTGCTACATATTTCTGTTCCTATCTAGCGCTTCCTATTGCGGGTGTAAAGCTATCACAAACCTAGCTTAACCCAACATGATTTTATTATTTTATAGTTTTGGAGGTCAGAAGTATGAAAATGGGTCTTCCGGGGCTAAAAATCAAAGTGTGAACAGGGCTGCTTGAGAGGAAGGCACCTGGGCCTGAGTTTCGGTAACAAAGCCACGTTTTATGATTGCCCCCCTTAACTCTTTTGGTTAACCTGCCATTTACCAGTGTTAGATGTGTTGCATTGAACAAGGATCTTACTCTAGACAGGCATGATTTAAAATGATGAGGCAGAACACTCAACTCCAGTTTTTTTTTTCTAAAAAGTTGATGTTGTTATTTTAATAAATTATTAGCTTATATTCTAACGGTGACTCATGGTGGCTTCCATTTTTATTTGACACTGTATATTCAATTTTTTCTGTTAGAGACTTTCAGAGGCTATCAGGTTCAGCTAGCTTCCTTCAGATATGTGTTAAAATTAGCATTGGAAAGGACACCAGTTCTTTATCACTTCGAGGTCAGATAACTGTAAAGTATTAGTATTCATGCTGGCAAGAAACTGCTCTGGAACAACGCATTATGCTTTATGATCTACTTATAGACCCTTTACAAAAAATTACTAAGATAATATTTTATGTTAGAACTTAAAAATCTATACTCCAAGGTAAATAATTTTGAGTTTTACTACATCTTGAGCAAAAATTATTTTCATAGGCTCCTTTATTTAAAAAACAATTTATGGGGACTTCCCTGGTGGCTCAGTGGTTAAGAATACACCTGCCAATGCAGGGCACACGGGTTCGAGCCCTGGTCCGGGAAGATCCCACATGCTGCGGAGCAACTAAGCCCGTGCGCCACAACTACTGAGCCTGCACTCTAGAGCCTGCGAGCCACAACTACTGAAGCCCACGTGCCACAACTACTGAAGCCCGCATGCCTAGAGCCCATGCTCTGCAACAAGAGAAGCCACCGCAATGAGAAGCCCGCGCACCGCAATGAAGAGTAGCCCCTGCTCGCCGCAACTAGAGAAAGCCCGCATGCAGCAACGAAGACCCAACGCAGCCAAAAATAAATTAATTAATTAACTAAAAAATATCCCACCCCTTTCCCCGTTAACCATCTTTAAAGTATGTTGATGGTATACTTAATTTTGATTAGCTTTAAATGCTTCTCTCTAAATATAGTTATCAATATTTTAATGCATAAGCCTCCAGACATGAAACATTATAGTATGTTTTGCAAAAATATAAGTTTTCATATGCTCTTGAATTCATGGTTACCCATTTATTATTTAAAATAAAACCATCTTAAGGATAGAGATTCTGCCTTCTGCATTCTTTGATTCTTGTCATAGTACATAGTATAGTAACTGAATACAGCGTCCACTACATAAATGTTATTAAATGACACTGTTAATTTTAACAAACATTTACTGAATGCCTGGTCTGGATAGGCTGTTGCCAGGATTTTGAGACATGGAAATGATAAATACATGGTTGATGCTCAAAAGGAACTAATATAAAAGGATTTTTTAAAAAGGTGGGTTTGAAAAAGAACTAAAGAGACTCCTCAGAAATGAGTTCAGTTATATTTTATCTTTTATTTATTTATTTTTTTTGTGGTATGCGGGCCTCTCACTATTGTGGCCTCTCCTGTTGCGGAGCACAGGCTCTGGACGTGCAGGCTCAGCAGCCATGGCTCACGGGCCCAGCCGCTCCGCGGCATGTGGGACCTTCCCGGACCGGGACACGAACCCGCGTCCCCTGCATCGGCAGGCGGACTCTCAACCACTGTGCCACCAGGGAAGCCCAAAACTGTGGTTTTAAAAGGCATGTTTGCTTAGTTCAGATAGAGGCTTATTTTAAAGCAGTGTTAAGTCTATAAAGATGGGCAATTCAAATATATTTTCTTAGTGTTTTATTCTTGGTTTTAGTAAAGAAACTCAGAAATCTGAACCTTTTACCATGTCCTTATATAGTATTTGACTAAAGGGTAATATCAAGGTCCAGAAGTTGAAGTTGGTGGAAATAAGGCCAAAATAAGGATGTTTTGTTCACTGTTTTGTTCACTACAATATAACCAGCACCTACGGCAGTGCCTGGAACTGAGTAGGGGCTCAATTATACGTATTTGTTAAAGGCAGGGGCAGAATGAAGTATATATTCTCATTTACGATGTGTTTGTGGAATAGGTCCCCGTGTCTAGGTCCAATGTTAGGACTGAAAACCGAAATCATTCCATCTTTACCACACTTCATAGATGTCTCATACCAACTTTAACAGAAACTCCATAAACTGCTAGGAAAATAACCGGAACCCATAGAACAAAAGAGGCAAATAATAGATTTATACATTGTTATTTTCCTGGCCCTTTTATTGCCATAATGATGTGATTGATGCATATGTCATAGTTTATAGGCTGACAGTTCCTGCATTTCACATCTCAGTGACCATCATACTACTTATCATTTTCTACTAGGAATGTTAATCCACAAGCACTCTGTATTTCAAGTGTATTTTAAGGTTCAAGATCACATAAAGTTCTACCCTGATAAATGAGTTGGACTGGGGAGGAAATTAGCATCAGAAAAGCACTGTTTCTGCCTTTGCTTTTCAGCCATACTATCTTAGGTATTTCCCTTTCGCTACCATATAAACCAGACTGAGTTCCAAAGTCATGCCTTCTTAGCTCTGTGATATGATGATCAATTCTGTCCACCGGTCAACAATCAGTTTGGTCAATTGACCAACTCAAGTGGCCTATCAGGCTTCTTGACAGTGTGCTTTTCCAGAGATGTTTCACACATAAAACTCACTGAGAATGTTTAAGATAGAGTTAAAATAGTCACAAAGGTGAGGCTGGGTTTTAGGTACGGTCTCCATGGCAACGACTTCTTCCTGCTGGCTCTCCCTCGGGGTCTGTTTTCCAGACCTCAGCTGAGGGCATCCGTCGATGTTTTAC